GGTGATTCATGTTGCAAGTCATGTTGTTCAGAGTGTTACAGTTCATTTGTTAAATAATAACAAAGCCGTCAGAAATTGTGATAAAAGTGAAATATTGCAAGCAAAGGAAAGTTAAACTGCTGTATGCTTATGCTGCTGGAGGACATAGAGACCACTTTTCCTCACTCTACTTTACTCAAAATACTCACTATAGATTGTAGATTGTTGTCTAAATGTAACCAAATATGAAAACACTGCAAGAGATGTGAAAACCTTTATAAGAATCCATATGAGCATTTGAACACATAGGTGCAAACCCAACTTTAACAGCAGCTCCCAGTTAAAAACAATAGAAGAAGCAAATCGCACCATAAACGTAGATCTTCATCCACACAGAATTTAAAAAAGAGAGTTTCCATGGGAAGCTGCACCCATTGACCAATGCAATTGTTTATTTTCTCCCATTGAGGCTGCTCCATTCATTGCTTCCCACTTTTTGTCAGCTCAACTGGAGTGAGACAGCACTTATTGGAGGAGAGCGTTCCACTGACAGAGCAGCCATAATGCCAAAGAAATAATGAAACCTTTCCATGTAGAAGTTACAGCTGAAAGCGAGGGAAAACCACGTCAAACCTAAACAGTGACAGCAATGACAGGACTTTCTGCTGTGATGAGTGTATTCACACATCATCTTGACACCACAAAGCCAAGCAGTGCTTAAATAACTTGCGGCAGGGGAGGTAATTTAAAGTGCTTTCTTACTCAGAACAATAAGGTTTTTTCTTTTAACGCCTGTTCTGTCCTTCAACCTAAAAAAAAGATATGGGTTTATGTTTTTTTTGGGAGAGGTTACCCTGCTAATTCCTCTCTGTTTGCTTCAGTGTTAAAAACCTTCAACCAAACACATGTTAACCAGCTACATTTGGAGGCAGATGGTAACGTCACTCTGCCCACATTGCCACCAGTGCATATTTTCACCGAGATGTTTTTCTACAGCCGTTGTGAAGGGGGGTTCACAGCAATGCCAGGCAACTCATACAGAAAGTGCATCTTCTTCATTTTTTAAATTGCATTACAAGCAATGTGTTGCAACATATGATGATTCATTTTTTAAAGGGTGTTAAAGTGCTCTTGTTTGATAATAACCGAGCTGCAGAAGTGTTAAAATTGCTGACATTCTTAACCACATTAGAAGTACATCAGGACTCTGGTAAAAGTAAAACAACTTATTAAACTCCTTCATTTAAGAAAAAGTAAGAAAGTTAAGGTTCTACATTAAATAAAAGTACAGTTTTTGCCTTTAACGACACAAAATAGCATCAGTTATTAAAGTTCTATGCACAGAAAGAGATGAATATTCCTACAAGTGTTAGGAAACCCCGGTTAGTTCAACCGTTAGACAGCATTTAGACACAATAAAGTATAATGAAGGGGGAATGGTTCGGGGATGTCATGTGTCTCAGAGTATCAGCTATCAACTGCTTTCTTCTCCAGTGTCCTGTCTTCATATCAATTCAATTAAATTCAGTTTATTTATATAGCGCCAATTCACAACACTTTACAGATCACACTGATATCAGGGTTTTTCAATAAACAAACAGGAGACATTCTCTTCCTGATTTTCCCAGTTTTGTTGAAGCTGATTTGTCAAATCATGGATATATATGAGGAGAAATAATGAGCCAGTTTGGTGAAAGTAAGGCGGAGAAAGCACAAGTACTCATGTTCAAGTTACTGAAACTAAAAAGTTGTGAGAATACTAATTGCTTCAGTAAAGTAAAGGTACTGAAAGTATTTATACTTAGTTATTTGACATATCTAAGCGCTGTATCGTACTCAGAAATGGCGACGAGGGCAAAAAATTGTAAGGAAAAAAAAAGAATAAATTCTCACTGCAAGTTTTAAATGTGGGGTTTAAGGAATACTTGTCTGGTATTAAAGTTTAAGAGGCTATTTCATGCATGTTTCATCTGGACTTTCCCTAAAAAAAAAAACTGACAAATAAATAGAAAAGTAGCAAGATTTTACTGAAAATTCAAAGAATGACTGTTTATTTATGTTTCTGAGCAAATACTGAAAGTGATAATAACAACAATGCTGGTAGGGTGAGTATGTGACATAATCAAGTTGTGCAATCTCCCTGGGAAGAACGAACATTATGCAGACTTCAAGGTAAAAAGAAATAAAAATAAAAGCTGCTGTTCAACATCTAATCTGCACAATGAAAAGGGAAAAATAAAGCTTTATTGGGCTTTGCACTCTTCAGCACATTTAGGTCAAAACAGAGACGGGAGAATACCTGTAAAAGTAGCACTACTTTAACAAGTATTTATGTCAAATAAATTTAAAAAGAGGAAAAAAGTAACTAGTAACAAGGCTACTTAAGTGCAGGGTACTTGCTTCTAATTTAGTTTATGTAACTGACCTGACGTAATAAGGCAGAGCAAATTATGAAGTTTTTTGCAGCCTCTGGTCTTAGATAACATAAAAATTGTATAATTTAGACAAATACAAAAGAGTAACTACCTGCATTGGCAATTAGTATATTTCACAATATTATCTTGACCTTTTCGTAAAGAACATTTTCTTTAAAAAAATCATCCAAATTTTAGCTAATATTTAAATATAAAGCTGTGTGATTTTCTTTTGAAATGTTGTCCTTCTTTTAGGGAAGTTACTCATATTGCTGGTAGCCGAAAACAAAAACTCAAGTAATAGTAAAAAGCATGGTGCAGGAAACTACTCCTCAAAGGACATTTTCTTTATACGCTAATAGTTATTTGTGTAAATGTAACAAAAAGTGAAACTGCTCACCTCTAAAGTTAAGCCACTGTTTTTATAAAATTCTAGATAAAGTGCTGATGTGAAAGAAATGAATAAAAACATTTAGTATTTCACAGAAACTTGCTTCTGAGTGCCCATTAATCTTTACTCTTACTGGCAAGAACATCTGGGTTTAGCACGGCTCTTTGCAAAAATGTGGTTTGACCTTTTCAACATTTGTTCATATTAAAACAAAAACAAAAATCACTCAGGCAATGCTTGACCGATGCCAGGTATGTCTTAATTGTCAGGGAGAAAGGAAACATACAAGTTTTATGAATAAATGTTGACAAATAAACATTTGAAATGTGTGGCAGAGCCAGCGTCTTATCTGAAGATTTGTTCCTATCTGCAGAATGACTCAAGCTCGGTCACATGGGTTTCATAAAATGTTTGAGCAGCAGCTTAATAAGAAAGAAAGTTTTCTTTGATGCCTTATTTTTATTTTGCAAACAGGACAGTGAGTTCATTCAGATTAGAAAGGGAGTTGAATGTAATTCCATCTGTTTTATTTGAATGATGCAGCTACAAAGTCATAAAATCAGAAAAAGCTCAATAGAAATACAAATTTTTACATTATATAACAATGACATCCAGGACCTTTTCTATAAAACAACTGCTTGTTATTTACTATCCAATTTCAAAATAGCTAGGATCATCATTATCAAACATTAATTCAGCTAATTAAACTTCATATCACACATGGTTTATGAATATAACAACCCCAAATGCCCAACATGTCACATAATTGGTCATTAAACTAATTAGCATGCAGCAGGAGCAGCAACAAATGATCAATGCAACAAATGTAAGAAAATGGAGCATAGCAGAAAACCTTCTACCTAGGGACAGTCATTGTGACAGCTTCAATCAGGACACCTTTTAAAGAACAATTTAATTAGAACATTTTGACTTCCAAAGTTATGCTGCTAGAGGCTTAGGTTGCTGGAGGACATAGGGACCACTTTTCCTCACTCTGCTACATTCTAATTCTACTCCTAATTCTAAGTTCTGCTGCATTTTTTGGTTCAATTTCTAACATCTTCTTTCATGGTAGCTTCATTTAGCCATTATAAATATAACAGTGGCAACTGCTATAGTTTTTAGTCGTCTTTGTCTCCCATACACAGCTATAGGCTCAACTTTTACTGTGAATAACTGGGTGTGCTCTATTTCATTCTTTAGATATAAATACACACTTAGAGCTGATCTGCTTAAATGTTTCTTTTCTACATAGAGCTATGGAGCTGGTTTACCATTACCTTTTCTCACATAGAAAGCATTTATGAATCTCTGCTTCTATGTTCCTTTGGTGTGTCTTTATCTATCTCTATAAACCCACGACTTAGTCTTGGTAGAAAGCTGCTCACATTGATTCTGGTCCTGTTAGAGCTTTCCCCCCTGTGAGAATGTAATTCTTTCCTCCTCATTGTTGCTCTTTGCATGTTCTGTATGAGGGATTGCTGCAAATTTAAGCAAAAAATACAAGCAAAAGTCTACTTTTGTGATATGCTCATTAAGGATGACTCCAATGGCTGGATTTCCTTAGATAAAAAGCCTTTAACCGATCTGACTGACTGTATAATCTGATTAAAGTTAAAACTTAATTGAAATGAACAATTTAGCACATTCATTTGCCGTTGTGATATAAACATGTTATACAGCATTTTGTCTCCAAATGTAAGTACTTAAGTAAAATGCTTTTTAAGGGTAGAATATATGAGAGTGTAGAACAAGAGGTTTTGAAACATAATGCTGAAAGAAGTAAAGCTCATCTGCCCTCTACTGGTCAAATAGAAGCATAGGAGACCATAAAACATAACATTTTGGGGGGGAAAGTGATTTTTAAACAAAATATGAATAATTCTTCTGATTGAAGAGCAGATAAATCTAAACCAGATGACAGGTGTTTAAAAAACAATCCTAAGAGACTACATAAAAAAAAAAATCAAATTTTTATGCAAAAGATTAATTATAACTTCCTCTTAGTCTTTGACTGATCTTTCTCAAGTTCAAAATACATTTTATATTACAATTAGAAAATCTTATATTACGTGAAAATGGGTATAAGGGGAAGTCTAGTCAGGCAGATAAAGAAAGACAGTTGTGATGGTGAGGGGAAGAGAACTGAAATAGGATCTGTTTTTTTCTGTGGTTTGTACCCGTAATATTGAGTGACAGTGTGCTCAGAAGGTTAGATCAGCCAACTTGCTGAAGCACAGCTTCTCTGATCAGCATGTCGGACGAAAATGGTACTTACTATTACTTTAATGATACTGAATATGACCAGTTTGACGATATGTGCCTCTACTCGGGCATGCAGGGCTCCTACATTTTCCTACCGGTTATTTATTACCTGATATTCTTCACTGGATTCTGGGGCAACATCTTCGTGATCACAGTGGTGGGAAGCAAAAGCAAAAAAGGGGGTCGCCTGGTGGACACTTTTGTGCTGAACCTGGCCCTGGCTGACCTGATCTTTGTCCTCACACTGCCTCTGTGGGCCATCTCCTCCAGCCAGAACAACTGCTGGGACTTTGGTGATGCCAGTTCACTTCTTTGCAAGCTGAGCAGCTATATCATCTCTGTCAACCGCTTCTCCAACATCTTCTTTCTCACCTGCATGAGCATTGACCGTTACCTGGCTATAGTGAGGATGATGGATTCCCGGTACCTGAGGAGTAGTCAGTGCATTCGCATCACTTGTGCTGCCCTTTGGATCGTCTCCCTCATCCTTGGCATCCCATCTTTGGTCTATCGTAACTTGGTGCTGTATGAGGGCGGTCAGGCCTGCATGGAAGATGAAAGTTCAGTGTTCTTGGGCATTAACCTGGCCATGGCGTTCCTCACTTTCATCATCCCAGTGCTCATCATCGTGCTCTGCTACGGGACCATCATCATGCACCTCAACAGGCACCAGGTCACTGCTGGGAACACCCGAGCCGAAGCCCGTCGCAGACACTCCCTGAAGATGGTCCTCTGCATCATCCTGGCGTTCATTGTGTCTTGGCTGCCCTACAACACTTTTAAGTCCATCAAAATCATTTCCCGTCTCAAAGATACTCTTCTGAGCTGTGAAACCAATGCATTTCTCAACAACGGGAATCTCATCTCCGGCTGCCTGGCATTCTTCAACAGCTGCGTCAACCCTGCCATCTACTTCTTCCTGGACCACCACTTCAGGCGCCGGGCACAGTTTCTGTTCCAGAGCTGCATCGGGAAGACAAAAGTGCTGCACAGCTTCAACTCTTCTGCTTCGTACACCAACCCTGGCACTTCTGAGAGCTTTGCGACAAATGGTGGGCGATCGCAGCTTCAAATGTCCCTGAAGGAGGAGAACTGAAAATTCCCTTCTAGAAGTCTGGAGGTGGTAAAGTAATTGTTTTACACTTCTCTTAAATCCAAATGACAGGCAGATTGGATTTCATTCACATTTAAATTTCTGTCTATTTTCTCTGAGTAACAGCCAGGTTTTATTGCAATACAACAGTTAAGAATCCTTTCTTTTATTTTTACTTTTTTCTTAAAGAGTATTTTCTAGATTTTACATGTAAAGTTTTAAAATTCTGATGTTTTTCTTATGTCGAAAATGCTGTTTATTTTTGCTTATGCTGGACAGAAGTGCAGACCTGGCTGTGTTGTTATTGTGTTCTAGGATTTGCAGTAAAGCATTAATCCAACTGTAAATACTCATATTTTTATGTTATCTCCTTAAATGTGTAATTTTGTACTTTTTTGAGACTTCATAATCCAATGTAAAATTCAAGAACTTTTGTAAACTTTTATGTGGAAAATAAAATAAAGATTTTGCAGCTGTATTCCTGCAGGTTCAATGACATAAAACAATTTTTATTCAATTATAATGACCAAATATGCAGACAAATTAACAAAATTTGTCTATATATTTTGACTTTTATCATTTCAAGTTGTTCATAAAATGATAATATCTTTGACTGCAAATATGTAGGTTACAGTTTAAATATATATTTTAAATGACTAAATTAAGACATTTAAAACATAAATAATTGTAATAATTGCAATAATAATAATCGCAATAATTTATGTTTTAATGACAACAGAAATAACCATAAAAATATGTCTTCAACATGCTGTAATAACGGTTGAAAAAGTTTCACACGAGTGTACGCTATAGATGAGTTTTCACACATTCAGAAGTCCTCACAGTCGAAACATAAAACCATCAAAGTGGTTTCGTGTCACCCTTAAGCTGCAATTCAGGTCATATTTGACGTTATGTTAAATTTATCATTATTCAATTACAATGAAAACACCTAAGTGACAAATACTTGATGTTCTAAATGATTTTTTTCCCTCATCAAATTTACAGCTGTGTAATTGAGATGAGTTTTAGATAAGCAACAGAGAAGTCTGGTTGTGAAGTCGACTCAGAGAGATTTCTCAGGGATGCCTTCCTGCTGTTTGTGTAAAATACAACACCAACAGACTGACAACAGTCTGCTGCTGAAACATAAAATATTACTCCTAATATCTAAGCTTTATCTTTGCAGATTTGCTTTTCCCATATTTGGCAACTTTCTCTATCCTTCTAATTTTCTTAAAAAAACAAACAGGAAAAAGCATCTATGTGCTTTGACCACTTACTGAGGTGAATTCTTCACATTACAGGTTACTGCTGTGAACTTTGCACACAATACGACCCGCACCACAAACTGTCTTCTTTACAGAGTGCATTCAAAGGACAGCTTTACACAAAAGGGGGTGGTGGTCTATCTAAACACTGTTTTGAGGACATTATAGATTTCCTCCTTCTGCATGAAAGAAACTGTTTTGACTGCATCGAAGCAAAAAAACAAACAACAAGATAAGTAAGGGATACAAATCTAAAAGCTGCAAAACTCACATGGAAGCATTGCATTGCAAAGATGATCAAGAAATACAAATTTCTTAAATTTACTCTTTTTTACCCTTAATTTGAGCAGGTAAATAATGACGTATTTTCTTTCTCTCAAAATAAGATAATTAGATAAAATGAACTTGAAATAAGACAATGTAATTGATTTTTTTCTCGTCTTAAATGTAAATTGTCTTGTTCAATTACGAAAGTGTCTCACTTCCCTACTCATACCAAGAAAAAATGCACTTATATAAAGAAAAAATGACATATTTAGATTTCAATGTTTTGCAGTGCGCAGATGATCACAACAGGAAACAAGAAATGTCAGTACTGTTTTTCTGATTCTTGCAATTATTTTGACAGTGCAAGAAATAAATTCTAATCAGGAAGTTGATATTAAATATTTTCTTGCAAAAAAAGGAATTTTGTTGACCACTTAAAAGGCAACATTAGAACATATCCCATTTATGTCATCTTGTTTACACTCATAAATCCATGTCTTTGTAATTGTACACCAATTATTTCCTACTTTTTATTTAATCTACACCTTTATGTTTCAGTCGTGGATCTTTTTTGTGCCTTTGCTTTTCACAGAGCCCCGTGAAGCAGCTGCTTGGGTGTCCTTCAGCTCATAATGTTGCCTTAGCCTGAGGTTCAGAGGACGCTATGATCTTATTTGATGATCTCAAATGGTTTCTCTATTTCTGGCTGCTAACACTATAACCTGGACCAGTTGCCTACATCCTACCACAGATCAAATCACCAAGGACATGCTGCTGCCATCACCGTGCTTCATAATAGTGGAGGAGCTGACCCAGTGTTGCTGCCAGGTTCCAGCTTCCTTTGATTTCATTCTTCTGTTTTTTTCTTTGCTATCCTTATAAATGTCAAACTTTAAATAAACCTGTGTGATTCGTTTTCAAATCACCAATCAAGCTGTGAGAGCATCTTGAAAATTATCTGTGAAAATCATATTGACCTGAACTAAGTTTTAAAGGAGATAACAGGGAATATTTAGCGATTTAGGAATTTTATAAATAGCAATAATGTCTGGAAACAAGTGGTCAGGTTGCGTTTATTGGCTTTTTTGTGGAGATGATAGTTTAAAAAAATGGGGAATGTGAAAACTTTCTAGTTCCTCGGTAAAATTCTTGGAGAAGCATTTTCTTTATGTTGGCTCATGGGGCTTCTGCTGAAACAGAGCGAAACCCCCCTCCAAGCAGAAAAAAATCAAGCATAAACCCATTCTTACTTGTTTAATTATAGAGACATCTGTCAGCTGTGAGGTCTCCTGAAAGGAAGTCTGCAGGTGCATCGCTGTGAGAGCTCGAAGTATGGTTAGACATGTTCACACACATATACATACACTAAAATGTGACTTCTCAGAATTCGGCCGTATTCACTTGACTCTTTTAAAAAGAAGTTCATGTACTAGAAAGTTCAAATGTTCAAACATGCCCACTGCTTTTTCAGTGGCGGGTGCAGAATGAATCAGAAAGTCTGAAAGCTGAGAGAACCAGGTTAGATGCCAACCTTTGGTAGCAAGGTCAGGAAAAACCCACTTTGCTGCTGTGAGAAATAGTTTACAACTCAGCAACAAGCGCTGTCCTACCTTTCAAGAGGCCAGATTGTTGTTTACTACTCTTCCACTAACAGGAAGAGTCTTCACCGCTCTGTCAGACACCAGCTTTGCATATTGGTTAATCCCTGACACACACTGCTACATCCTTCAAATCACGCTCTTTTCTTTCCTACTTGAAAATATGAAATACAACAATTTCAATGCACAAACTCCTCCTTTATTCCTGAAAATAAAACAAAACGGGTCATATAAGTAAAATAAGGTAAAATTGTGCCGATTTATTTTGAATTTATATATGTGCAGCTTGCACGTTTGTTACCATGGTTTCAGTTTTTAGATGAGAGCTGTTGACAACCTTTGTCTTCACGCTCTCTGATTGCTTGGGGCACTGCTGCTCTCAGGTTTAACACCCAGCTTGACTGCATTTGTTTATGGTTTTTTTTTTTCATAAGCAGACTTTAGAGAAGTTTTGTCTGGGGTAAAATAAATCCCTCTGACGATCGGATGACTAGTTTGACAGTGTCACATACAAAACGAAAGGTGAGAGTCTGGCTTTCATGTCTTATCAAAGTTTCCTTATGCTTCAGCTGCCCGTTTCCGTGCATGTTAATGGTGAGACAATCAGATTGTATTTTTCCCACAGTGTTTTAGCTGTACCCAGCACTCCGTCTGCTCTTTACTCATAGCTGGAATATAAACCCCTTACAACAAAGCTTATGATCGCGTGTGTGTGAACTTGAAATCACCTCTCTGTATGACATTCCTCCAACTGCTCTTTCTTTTTTCTCACAATGTCATTTGAAACCAGAAGTGGGTAAAGCAGCCAGAAATTGTATTCAAGAGAAGCACAGTTTCAACATATATTTGAGTTAATATAAGCAACTAATAGTATCCTCTAGACCAGGGGTAACAAATTAATAATTAGGGGAGTACGAATAACGAAAATCAACAACGAGTAAAGGTCTGTAGACATTTTTTATTATAATCTGTTACTTTAAACAGAATTTAACACTGAAATAAAATTAGTTTTTTATGCATCTATGTTATACATTGACTTTTTAAATAAAACATATTAAAAATGAAATAGAAAATTTTTCCATTTTAAATTCTAAAGTGTTTTTTTAAGTAGAGAACAATCTTTCAGTTTGGTTTATTGAAAATTTCCTGATTGACATATTTTATAAAACACCTGAACTGACCATTTGTTTTTGTTTTTTTGTTTTGTTTTTTTTTTTTTATGGTTTAATGAGAGCAGTGGACTTTAGGCTGCCAATGGTGCAGCACCATGAGGAAAGTAACATATCCTACTTGGTATGCTGCTATAAGATTAGACTGCTGGAAGACATAGGGGCCAACTTTTCATTATTGTGCTTCATTCCATCTCTACTCTCCCATTCTCCAGTATTTCTTGGTTTAATCTCTTATGCTGTCCTGGTTCTGCTGAAGGTTTCTTCCTGTTAAAAGCGAGTTTTTCCTCTCCACTGTGGCTGCAAGCATGCTTAGTGTGAGGGATTGCCTTCAAGTCAATGAGTCGAAGAAATTAATTAGTTTTCCTTAGATAGAATTTTTTGAACCAATCTGACTGGAGGATCTGGTGAAGTTTACCTCTGGTGAACTGTAAAGTTACTTTAAATCATCAAAATGGAAATAAACTGTTTATGAAATTTATTAAACTACACTTCCTAATTAGAGTTACAAATATAAATATTTTTTATACATTTGTCTGGAAACCCCCACCGCAGGATGATGATGTTAGTCTTACAGGACAGCTGAACACCTAAACCGAGGACTAAATATAGGCTGCAGGGGGTAATGATTCACTGAAGGCTTGTTTTATTGGTGAGCAATAGGAAACAGTGGGCAAAACAGTAAAACATGAGAGGGTGATGGTAGGTGACATAACCTTCATAAAAGACCATAAATTCAATACACATAACAGCACTGGTGACACATTAGCTGGGGTTTAGTGGTGATACCTCCAGAATGTAGGAAGCAGACATAATAACTGCAATGTTTTAACACTTTCATGTAGAAAAGGCAAACAATTTATCAGGTATCGTTTGCCTAACAACCACCACTGTAGGCTGCTTCATCTGTTCATATATTTAGATGCCTATTTATTTCTATCAGTATCTCTTTTTTTTATAGGGCTACTCTCCAATTGTCTTTTACTCAGTACTTGCCACAACCTTTATTAATAGCTGAAAAACTTATTTAATTTTAAGCAAAA